TACAGACCATAATAATAATAATAATAATAATAATAATATATAATAATAATATTATTACTACCAGTACCTGACACAACTTATACAGACCATAATAATAATAATAATAATAATAATAATAATAATAATAATAATAATAATAAAATAATAAAATAATAATAATAATATTTTTACTACCAGTACCTGACACAACTTATACAGACCATAATAATAATATAATAATAAATAATAATAATAATAATAATAATAATAATAATAATAATAATAATAATATTTATTACTACCAGTACCTGACACAACTTATACAGACCATAATAATAATAATAATAATAATAATAATAATAATAATAATAATAATAATAATAATAATAATATTTATTACTACCAGTACCTGACACAACTTATACAGACCATAGCTGACACCTATGACATACTACTATATAGAAAGTTCCTTGTTATGTACAGCATTTCCTGCATATTAGGTCAGTTTTGTCCCCAGGATGTGACCAACACCAGTCACCTAACACCCAGGTACCTACTTACTGTTAGGTGAACAGTGACAGCATGTGTAAGGTGGATAACACCCAGGTACCTACTTACTGTTAGGTGAACAGTGACAGCAGGTGTAAGGTGGATAACACCCAGGTACCTACTTACTGTTAGGTGAACAGTGACAGCAGGTGTAAGGTGGATAACACCCAGGTACCTACTTACTGTTAGGTGAACAGTGACAGCAGGTGTAAGGTGGATAACACCCAGGTACCTACTTACTGTTAGGTGAACAGTGACAGTAGTTGTAAGGTAACTAACGCCCAGCAAATAGATATTAATATTTTCACCCGTGGCGGGGATCGAACCATGAACTTCCGCGTATGAAATGAGTGAGCTCCCAACCCAGCCACGGGACACCTATTTATTCCTGTTTTCCATTTAGTTTCGTTAATGTACGTACATAATTTCAGATATCGGCGAATGTAGTAATGGCTTCAGGCTGTGTGAGTGACATCATGGTAGGTGATGACATGACTACCATGGTAGGTGCTGACATGACTACCACAGTAGGTGATGGCATGACTACCACGGTAGGTGATGGCATGACTACCATGGTAGGTGCTGACATGACTACCACAGTAGGTGATGGCTTGACTACCACGGTAGGTGATGGCATGACTACCATGGTAGGTGCTGACATGACTACCACAGTAGGTGATGGCTTGACTACCACGGTAGGTGATGGCATGACTACCATGGTAGGTGCTGACATGACTACCACAGTAGGTGATGGCATGACTACCATGGTAGGTGCTGACATGACAACCATGGTAGGTGATGACATGACTACCATGGTAGGTGATGACATGACTACCTTGGTAGGTGCTGACATGACAACCATGGTAGGTGATGACATGACAACCATGGTAGGTGATGACATGACTACCATGGTTACTGATGTCAGTACAGTCAGTGCCAGCAGTCAGACAGGCCAGTCAGTGCCAGTGACGGCAGTGGCACACTCTACACCCCGTCCATTACCTGACAACATCCAGCTTAAGTGAGTATTTACAAGCTTTAAGAAGCTTACCCCTAAAGCTTCGTAAAGCTGTGGTTTATCTGATTAAAACCAAGGTTTTTAAACCCCCCAAAAACAGTGAAAAAACGTCTAAAGTAAAATATTTGTATTGATGGAACGTTTCACCCACACGGTAGACCTCTTCAGTTAAATACACAGGCAGCAGTGTAGTAGTGAGATGAGGTGGTCAGTCCCTGGTGTTGAACCCCATCGACTTACTTACCCTGGGGTCTGACTTACTTACCCTGGGGTCTGACTTACTTACCCTGGGGTCTGACTTACTTACCCTGGGGTCTGACTTACTTACCCTGGGGTCTGACTTACTTACCCTGGGGTCTGACTTACTTACCCTGGGGTCTGACTTATTTACACTGGGGTCTGACTTACTTACCCTGGGGTCTGACTTACTTACCCTGGGGTCTGACTTATTTACACTGGGGTCTGACTTACTTACCCTGGGGTCTGACTTACTTACCCTGGGGTCTGACTTATTTACACTGGGGTCTGACTTATTTACACTGGGGTCTGACTTATTTACACTGGGGTCTGACTTATTTACACTGGGGTCTGACTTATTTACACTGGGGTCTGACTTGTTTACACTGGGGTCTGACTTGTTTACACTGGGGTCTGACTTCTTTACACTGGGGCCTTTGACTTATTTACACTGGGGTCTGACTTATTTACACTGGGGTCTGACTTGTTTACACTGGGGTCTGACTTACTTACACTGGGGTCTGACTTATTTACACTGGGGTCTGACTTGTTTACACTGGGGTCTGACTTGTTTACACTGGGGTCTGACTTATTTACACTGGGGTCTTTGACTTATTTACACTGGGGTCTGACTTATTTACACTGGGGTCTGACTTGTTTACACTGGGGTCTGACTTGTTTACACTGGGGTCTGACTTGTTTACACTGGGGTCTGACTTATTTACACTGGGGTCTGACTTGTTTACACTGGGGTCTGACTTATTTACACTGGGGTCTTTGACTTATTTACACTGGGGTCTGACTTATTTACACTGGGGTCTGACTTATTTACACTGGGGTCTGACTTATTTACACTGGGGTCTGACTTATTTACACTGGGGTCTTTGACTTATTTACACTGGGGTCTTTGACTTATTTACACTGGGGTCTTTGACTTATTTACACTGGGGTCTGACTTATTTACGCTGGGGTCTGACTTATTTACACTGGGGTCTTTGACTTATTTACACTGGGGTCTGACTTATTTACGCTGGGGTCTGACTTATTTACACTGGGGTCTTTGACTTATTTACACTGGGGTCTGACTTATTTACGCTGGGGTCTTTGACTTATTTACACTAGGGTCTGACTTATTTACACTGGGGTCTGACTTATTTACGCTGGGGTCTTTGACTTATTTACACTGGGGTCTGACTTATTTACGCTGGGGTCTTTGACTTATTTACACTGGGGTCTGACTTATTTACACTGGGGTCTTTGACTTATTTACACTGGGGTCTGACTTATTTACACTGGGGTCTTTGACTTATTTACACTGGGGTCTGACTTATTTACACTGGGGTCTTTGACTTATTTACACTGGGGTCTGACTTATTTACACTGGGGTCTGACTTATTTACACTGGGGTCTTTGACTTATTTACACTGGGGTCTGACTTATTTACGCTGGGGTCTTTGACTTATTTACACTGGGGTCTGACTTATTTACACTGGGGTCTTCACCTATCATTATTCATAGATTATAGATCATTCTGAGTCATTGCTATGATATTTAGATGTTTGTGTTATGTTGTCTCTGATTACATCTCCGCTAAACACAGGAGTGATGCTGCTGATGCTCAGAACGTTCTCATCTCCGACACCAGTGATGCTAGGACGAAGGGATTGGGTCTGCCTCTCACAGAGTGAGTTTTAAAATGCAGTATTTGCTGCGTCTGTGTTAATATCCCTTATTTTTAACATTATGGGGAGGAACTAAGCCAGTTATGGGTCAGTGTTAATATCCCTTATTTTTAACAGTATGGGGAGGAACTAAGCCAGTTATGGGTCAGTGTTAATATCCTTTATTTTTAACATTATGGGGAGAAACTAAACCAGTTATGGGTCAGTGTTAATATCCTTTATTTTTAACAGTATGGGGAGTAACTAAACCAGTTATGGGTCAGTGTTAATATCCTTTATTTTTAACATTATGGGGAAGCACTAAACCAGTTAGGGTCGTAAAATGCCTCAGGACTGACGGTAATACACTCTCAGAGTATAAATTCCGTTGAATATTTATTATTGCCACGAATATTTACTGTTAGTCTGCCATCAGTACTGACCTCCAGGTGGCCTCACTCTGCGTGATATAACCGACCTCCAGGTGGCCTCACTCTGCATGATATAACCGACCTCCAGGTGGCCTCACTCTGCGTGATATAACCGACCTCCAGGTGGCCTCACTCTGCATGATATAACCGACCTCCAGGTGGCCTCACTCTGCGTGATATAACCGACCTCCAGGTGGCCTCACTCTGCATGATATAACCGACCTCCAGGTGCTTAATGCCTCAAATGATGTAGTGGAAGTTTTAGCAGTAAAGGTCGAGAACCAAAACCTAGTCATTGTGGTAGTCTACAAGCCTCCGGATGCAACATCCCAGCAATTCCAGGAACAGCTGTTAAAAATTGACCACTGTCTGGAAAATCTTCCAGCTCCTGCACCCAACATCTTGCTCCTGGGGGATTTCAACTTAAGGCACCTAAAATGGAGGAATATAGCAAATAATATTGTTGCAATAATAACACCAGGAGGCAGCTCTGATGAAAACTCACACTCACACCAGCAAAATAATAGAGCCTACTAGACTGGAGAATACACTAAACCTCATCTTCACTAACAATGATGATCTGATAAGAAATGTCACCATATCAAAAACAATATACTCAGATCACAACATAATTGAGGTTCAGACATGTATGCGCGGAGCCCCAGACCGACATAATGAGATTAGTCACGAGGGAGCATTCACCAAATTCAACTTCAATAACAAAAACATAAAGTGGGACCAAGTAAACCAAGTCCTAACCGATATAAGCTGGGAAGATATACTAAGCAACACAGACCCCAACTTATGCCTAGAACAGATTAACTCGGTGGCACTCGATGTATGCACAAGGCTTATTCCTCTAAGAAAAAGGAGGAGTAGATGTAAAATAGAAAGAAACAGGCGCTCCCTTTACAGGCGACGGAAAAGAATAACAGAGCGGCTAAAAGAGGTCAATATATCTGAAATGCGTAGAGAGACACTGGTCAGAGAAATAGCAAGCATCGAACTTAAGCTAAAAGAATCCTTTAGGAGTCAGGAATCGGGGGAAGAACTAAAAGCCATAAATGAAATCGAAAGAAACCCAAAGTATTTCTTCTCCTATGCCAAATCAAAATCGAGAACAACGTCCAGTATTGGGCCCCTACTTAAACAAGATGGGTCCTACACAGATGACAGCAAGGAAATGAGTGAGCTACTCAAGTCCCAATATGACTCAGTTTTTAGCAAGCCGCTAACCAGACTGAGAGTCGAAGATCAAAATGAATTTTTTATGAGAGAGCCACAAAATTTGATTAACACAAGCCTATCTGATGTTATCCTGACGCAAATGACTTCGAACAGGCGATAAATGACATGCCCTTGCACTCTGCCCCAGGGCCAGACTCATGGAACTCCGTGTTCATCAAGAACTGCAAGTATTACGAGCCTTTTCCATCCTATGGAGAGGGAGCATGGACACGGGGGTCGTCCCACAGTTACTAAAAACAACAGACATACCCCCACTCCACAAAGGGGTAGTAAAGCAACAGCAAAGAACTACAGACCAATAGCACTAACATCCCATATCATAAAATCTTTGAAAGGGTCCTAAGAAGCAAGATCACCACCCATCTAGAAACCCATCATTTTACAAAAACCCAGGGCAACATGGGTTTAGAACAGGTCGCTCCTGTCTGTCTCAACTATTGGATCACTACGACAAGGTCCTAAATGCACTAGAAGACAAAAAGAATACAGACGTAATATATACAGACTTTGCAAAAGCCTTCGACAAGTGTGACCATGGCGTAATAGCGCACAAAATGCGTGCTAAAGGATAACAGGAAAAGTCGATCGATGGATCTATAATTTCCTCACTAACAGAACACAGAGAGTAGTCGTCAACAGAGTAAAGTCCGAGGCAGCTACGGTGAAAAGCTCTGTTCCACAAGGCACAGTACTCGCTCCCATCTTGTTCCTCATCCTCATATCCGACATGGACAAGGATGTCAGCCACAGCACCGTGTCTTCCTTTGCAGATGACACCCGAATCTGCATGACAGTGTCTTCCATTGCAGACACTGCAAGGCTCCAGGCGGACATCAACCAAATCTTTCAGTGGGCTGCAGAAAACAATATGAAGTTCAACGATGAGAAATTTCAATTACTCAGATATGGTAAACACGAGGAAATTAAATCTTCATCAGAGTACAAAACAAATTCTGGCCACAAAATAGAGCGAAACACCAACGTCAAAGACCTGGGAGTGACCATGTCGGAAGATCTCACCTTCAAGGACCATAACATTGTATCAATCGCATCTGCTAGAAAAATGACAGGATGGATAATGAGAACCTTCAAAACTAGGGAGGCCAAGCCCATGATGACACTCTTCAGGTCACTTGTTCTATCTAGGCTGGAATATTGCTGCACACTAACAGCACCTTTCAAGGCAGGTGAAATTGCTGACCTAGAAAATGTACAGAGAACCTTCACGGCGCGCATAACGGAGATAAAACACCTCAATTACTGGGAGCGCTTGAGGTTCCTAAACCTGTATTCCCTGGAACGCAGGCGGGAGAGATACATAATTATATACACCTGGAAAATGCTAGAGGGACTAGTACCGAACTTGCAAAACGAAAATCACTCACTACGAAAGCAAAAGACTTGGCAGACGATGCACCATCCCCCCAATGAAAAGCAGGGGTGTCACTAGCACGTTAAGGGGACCATACAATAAGTGTCAGGGGCCCGAGACTGTTCAACTGCCTCCCAGCATACATAAGGGGGATTACCAACAGACCCCTGGCAGTCTTCAAGCTGGCACTGGACAAGCACCTAAAGTCGGTTCCTGATCAGCCGGGCTGTGGCTCGTACGTTGGTTTGTGTGCAGGCAGCAGCAACAGCCTGGTTGATCAGGCTCTGATCCACCAGGAGGCCTGGTCACAGACCGGGCCGCGGGGGCGTTGACCCCCGGAACTCTCTCCAGGTAAAACTGCAAGCCTCACTCTGCATGATATAACCGACCTCCAGGTGGCCTCACTCTGCGTGATATAACCGACCTCCAGGTGGCCTCACTCTGCGTGATATAACCGACCTCCATGTGGCCTCACTCTGCATGATATAACCGACCTCCAGGTGGCCTCACTCTGCATGATATAACCGACCTCCAGGTGGCCTCACTCTGCATGATATAACCGACCTCCAGGTGGCCTCACTCTGCATGATATAACCGACCTCCAGGTGGCCTCACTCTGCATGATATAACCGACCTCCAGGTGGCCTCACTCTGCGTGATATAACCGACCTCCAGGTGGCCTCACTCTGCATGATATAACCGACCTCCAGGTGGCCTCACTCTGCGTGATATAACCGACCTCCAGGTGGACTCACTCTGCATGATATAACCGACCTCCAGGTGGCCTCACTCTGCATGATATAACCGACCTCCAGGTGCCTCACTCTGCATGATTTTAACCGACCTCCAGGTGGCCTCACTCTGCATGATAAAACCCGACCTCCAGGGTGGCCTCACTCTGCATGATATAACGACCTCCAGGTGGCCTCACTCTGCATGATATAACCGACCTCCAGGTGGCCTCACTCTGCATGATATAACCGACCTCCAGGTGGCCTCACCCTGCATGATATAACCGACCTCCAGGTGGCCTCACCCTGCATGATATAACCGACCTCCAGGTGGCCTCACTCTGCATGATATAACCGACCTCCAGGTGGCCTCACTCTGCATGATATAACCGACCTCCAGGTGGCCTCACTCTGCGTTATAGGGCCTATAATACCGTCTAATGTGCTGGATCGGTAGCGCACTCAGCTCACACACTGAAGTACGGGGTTCGAATCTCCTCCAGTACGGCTGGAAAACATTAGGGGCGTGTTTCCATAAGACACCTGCTGTCCCTGTTCACCCATCAGTGTAAAATAGGTACCTAGGTGTTAGGTGACTGGTGTGGGTGGCATCCTGGGGACAAAACTGACCTAATATGCAGGAAATGCTGTACATAACAAGGAACTTTCTATATAGTAGTATGTCATAGGTGTCAGCTATGGTCTGTATAAGTTGTGTCAGGTACTGGTAGTAATAAAATATATATTATTATTATTATTATTATTATTATTATTATTATTTGGTCTGTATAAGTTGTGTCAGGTACTGGTAGTAATAAATATTATTATTATTATTATTATTATTATTATTATTATTATTATTAATATTATTATTATTATTATTATTATTATTATTAGGGTTTGTATAAGTTGTGTCAGGTACTGGTAGTAATAAATATTATTATTATTATTATTATTATTATTTATTATTATTATATTATTATGGTCTGTATAAGTTGTGTCAGGTACTGGTAGTAATAAATATTATTATTATTTATTATTATTATTATTATTATTATTATTAATATTATTATTATTATTATTATCATTATTATTATTATTATTATTATTATGGTTTGTATAAGTTGTGTCAGGTACTGGTAGTAATAAATATTATTATTATTATTATTATTATTATTGTTATTATTATTATTATTATTATTATTATTATTATTATTATTATTATTGGTCTGTATAAGTTGTGTCAGGTACTGGTAGTAATAATTATTATTATTATTATTATTATTATTATTATTATTATTATGGTCTGTATAAGTTGTGTCAGGTACTGGAAAGTAATAATTATTTATTATTATTTATTATTATTATTTTATTATTATTATGGTCTGTATAAGTTGTGTCAGGTACTGGTAGTAATAAATATTATTATTATTATTATTATTTAATTATTATTATTATTATTATTATTATTATTATTATTATTATTATGGTCTGTATAAGTTGTGTCAGGTACTGGTAGTAATAAATATTATTATTATTATTATTATTATTATTATTATTATTATTATTATTATTATTATTATTATTATTATTATTATTATTATTATTATTACACAGAAACCGACCCATCGCTGCTATGCCTGTCTCTCCACACTCTCCACTCTACAGCATGGAGCATAGGCCTAGAGGCCTGGCTGTCATATTTGTCTATGACACCTTTGTTCTCGGTGGTCCACCTGTGAGTAGTGTTCTTCAAGAATTATTATTATTATTATTATTATTATTATTATTATTATTATTATTATTGACAATATTCGCTGGTTCTATCAGCCACTAAGACGCTTCGGGTGAGTAAGTTGATAGGCTGAGAACAACACTAGATGGTCAGTCTGTGGATAGGCCTAGTGACGGAAGTAGGCCTACCATATAAACTTTATTTGTAAAGTGTGGTAAACAGTTTATGTAACAGGTGTCCCGTGGATGGGTTGGTAACGCACTCGCCTCACACATTGAGGTCCGTGGTTCGATCCCCGATACGGGTGGAAACATTTGGACATGTTTCACTAAGACACCTGCTGTCCATGTTCACCTAGCAGTAAGTAGGTACCTGTGTGTCAGTTACCCCTACACCTGCTGTCACTGTTCGCCTAGGGACAACAGGTGTAACGTAACTAACACCCAATTGCCTACTAACTGCTAGGTGAACAGTGACAGCAGGTGTCTTAAGAACACATCCCAGTGTCTCCACCCGTACCAAGGATCGAACCATGGATCTTAGTGTCAGAAAGTTTTTAAACTAAGGGAGGAGGCAGTTAGGGTAAGATATAAGCAGCTATTGGAGGATAGATGGGCTAGTGAGAGTACAGACAATGGGGTCGAAGATGTATGGGGTATGTTTAAGAATGTAGTGTTAGAGTGTTCAGCAGAAGTTTGTGGTCACAGGAAAGTGGGAGCGGGAGGGAAGAAGAGCGATTGGCGGAACGATGATGTAAAGAGAGTAGTAAGGGAGAAAAAGTTAGAATATGAGAGGTTTTTTACAAAGTAGAAGTGATGCAAGGAGGGAAGAGTATATGGAGAAAAAGAGAGAGGTTAAGAGAGTGGTGAAGCAATGTAAGAAGAGAGCAAATGAGAGAGTGGGTGACTTGTCAGCAAATTGTTGCTTCCTCTGTTTATAATAAGACATTTATATATATAAATAAATAAATATATATATATAATATATATATTATATATATATATATATATATATATATATATATATATATATATATATATATATATATATATTTATATATATAGCTCCTGACGATGCACCAGAATACGAATGATCCGGAGTTAAATATTCCATCATCTTGTGGGTTGTCCACTCACTCACACCTGTGTTTGCTTCACCAGCCTCGACCTTGTGGGAGTCATGATGCTACAATATGCAGACGGTGCTTCACACACCTGGGGTTCAAGGTTCTTGAACCATTCAGGAACCTTAGGAAGAAAGTGTTCCTACTTACATTAGAAAAACGTAAGTATGTGCTTCTTTCTGTACGTTAGACTGCTGATTTCGTTAGTTAATGGTGTAGATCAGAAGGACTTTGAGGTAATCAGTCCCTCAGTCTTTAGTTGGTGTAATCAGTCCCTCAGCCTGGAGTCAGTGTAATCAGTCCCTCAGTCTGGAGTCGGTGTAATCAGTCCCTCAGTCTGGAGTCAGTGTAATCAGTCCCTCAGTCTGGAGTCGGTGTAATCAGTCCCTCAGTCTGGAGTCGGTGTAATCAGTCCCTCAGTCTGGAGTCGGTGTAATTCCCCCCCTTTTTCAGTTTCTGGGTGGGTTTTGTAATCAGCCCTGCTGGAGTCGGTTTTAATCCCCCTCGTTGGAGTCTTTTGTAATCAGTCCTCAGTTGGGTCTTTTTAATCACCCCTCGCTGGGTGGGTGTAATCAGCCTAGTTGGGAGTCGGTGTAATCTCCCCCCTTGCTTTTTTGGGGGTTTCTGTAATCGTCCTCGTTTGGGAGTGGTTTTGTTTGTTTTTTTGTAATCAGCCCCAGTTGGGGTGTTTTTGTAATCGTCTTAGTTGGAGTCGGTGTAATTCAGTCCCTCAGTTTGGGAAAACGGTTTTTAATCGCCCCTTTGTTTGGAGGCGGTGTAATCAGTCCCTCAGTTGGGAAACGGTGAATTTTGTCCTCGTTTGGGAGGGGTTTTGAAAATCAGCCCCTCAGCTTGGAACGGTGTAATCGTCTTCGTTGGAAAAGGGTGTAATCGTCCCTCAGTTTGGAAAAGGTGGAAAATCCAGTTTCAGCTTGGACGGTGTAATCAGTCCCTAGTTTGGAAAAAACGGTTTTTTAATCATTTTCTCAGGGGAAAAGGGTTTTTCAGTCCCTCAGTTGGACGGTGTAATCTTTCCCTCAGTTGGAAACGGTTAAATTTTTTATTTTTAAATCAGCCCCCTCAGTTTGGAAAACGGTTTTTGTTTTTGAAATCAGCCCCTCAGTTGGAAAGGTGTAATCACCCCTTCAGTTGGAGTGGGGTTGTAATCATTTCCCTCAGTTTAAAACGGTGTAATGTCCCTCAGTTGGAGTCTTTTGTAATCAGCCCCTCGTTTGGGAAAACGGTTTTTTTAACAGTCCCTCAGTTTGGAAAAGGTGTAATCAGTCCCTCAGCTTGGGAACGTTTTTTTTGGGGTGGTTTTTTAATCAGCCCCCTCGTTGGAGTCGGTGAATCAGCCCCTCAGCTTGGAAAGGGTTTTTGTAATCAGTCCCTCAGCTTGGAAACGGTGTAATCAGTCTTAGTTGGAAACTTTTTGGTAATCGTCCTCGTTGGGTCGGTGAAAATCACCCCTCGTTTGGGAAACGGTTTTTAATCAGCCCTCAGTTTGGAAAACGGTTTTTTAAATCAGCCTCAGCTTGGAAAGGGTTTTTTTAATCAGTCCTCGCTTGGAGGGTTTTTGTAAATCAGTCCTCGTTTGGAAAGGGTGTAATCGGGGCCCCTCAGCTGGGTCGGGTAAATCAGTCCCTCGTTGGAAAACGGGTTTTTGTCCCTCAGCTTGGAAACGGTGTAATCAGTCCCTCAGTTGGATCGGTGAAATCGGGGCCCTCGTTGGGTGGGTTTGTTATTGTTATTTTTCAGTCCTCAGTTGGGAAAATGGAAAAGGTTTTTAATCGTCCTAGCTGGAGTCTTTTTGTAATAAACCCTCGCTTGGAAAAACGGTTTTTGGGGTTTTTGTAATCAGTCCCTAGCTTGGAAAACGGTGTAATCAGTCCCTAGTTTGGGAAAAGGGTGAACATTTCCCTCGTTTGGACGGTGTAATCAGCCCCCCCTCAGTTGGATCGGTGTATCTTTTATTGGGGTAATCAGTCCCTCAGCTGGAGTCGGTGTAATCGTCCCTCAGTTGGAAAGGGTTTTGGGTAATCAGCCCCTCAGCTTGGAAATTTTTTTGTAATCGCCCCCTCAGCTTGGAAAGGGTTTTGTAATCAGCCCCTCGTTTGGGAAAACGTGTAATCAGCCCCTCACTGGAAACGGGTAAATCAGTCCCTCAGTTTGGAAACTTTTGTAATCGCCCCCTCGTTTGGGAAAAACGGTGTAATCGTCTTCAGCTTGGAGCGGTGTAATCAGCCCCTCGTTGGAAAAACGGTGTAATCGCCCCTCAGTCTGGATGGGTTTTGTAATCAGCCCCTCAGTTTGGAAAAACGGTTTTTTTTAAAATCAGCCCCTCAGCTTGAAACGGTGAAATCGCCCCTCGTTGGAGTCGGTGTATCGCCCCTCGCGGGAGTCGGTGTAATCAGCCCCTCTTGGAGTGGGTTTTGTAATCAGCCCCTCAGTTGGAAAGGGTTTTGTAATCAGTCCTAGTTGGAAAGGGTTTTTTTAATCAGTCTCTCGTTGGGGAGTGGGGTTTTTTAAACCAGTCCCTCAGTTTGGGGAAACGTGTTTTTCCCTCAGTCTGGAGTCGGTGTAATTCAGTCCTCAGTTTGGGGAAAACGGTTTTTTAATCACCCCTCAGCTTGGAAAAAGGTGTAATCAGTCCCTCGTTGGAGTCGGTGTAATAGCCCTCATTTGGAGTGTGTAATCAGTCCTCGTTGGAGTGGGTTTGTAACCCAGTTCGTTTGGGAAACGGTTTTTAATCAGTCCTCGCTTGGAAACGGTGAAATCAGTCTCTCAGTTTGGAAAGGGTTTTGTTCGCCCCTCTTTGGGGTTTTAATCGCCCCTCAGTTTGGAAAACGGTGTAATCAGTCCCCCCCCGGAACGGTTTTTTAAATTACCCCCTCAGTTGGAACGGTTTTTTTTAAAATCAGTCTCTCAGCTTGGGTGGGTTTTTGTAATCAGTCCCTCGCTTGGAAACGGTGTAATCAGCCCCTAGTCGGGAGTGGGTGAAATCAGCCCCTCAGCTTGGAAAGGGTTTGTAATCAGTCCTCAGCTTGGAACGGTGTAATCATCCCTCGTCGGGAGTCGGGTAATCAGTCCTAGTTGGAGTCGGTGTAATCGCCCCTCGTTGGAGTCGGTTTTTAATCGTCCCTCGTTTGGAAACGGTTTTTTTAATCAGTCCCTCAGCTTGGAACCCCCGGGGGGGGTTTTGTAATCAGTCCTCAGTTTGGGAAAAGGGTGTAATCAGTCCCTCGTTGGGAAAACGGTGTAATCGCCCCTCAGTTGGAGGGGTTTTTGTAATCGTCCCTCCTTGGAACGGTGAAATCAGCCCCTCGCTTGAACGGTGTATCAGCCAAGTCGGAGCGGTGAAATAGCCCCTCAGTTGGAGTCGGTTTTTGTAATCAGTCCTCAGTTGGACGGTGTAATCGTCCCTGTTGGAAACGGTTTTTTAATCATTCCCCTGCTTGGAAACGGTGTAATCAGCCTCAGTTGGAAACGGTGAAACGTCCTCAGTTGGGGAGTGGTGTTTTCGCCCCCTCGCTTGGAAACGGTTTGTTTCAGTCCCTCAGTTGGAAAGGGTTTTGTAATCAGTCCCTCAGTTGGAGCGGTGTTTTCACCCCTCAGTTGGGTCGGTGTTGTTTTTGGAGTGGTGTAATCAGCCCCTCGCTTGGAAAACGGTGAAATCAGCCCCTTAGTTGGAAAGGGTTTTGGTAATCAGTCCTCAGTTTGGAAACGGTTTTTATCGTCCCTCGTCTGGAGTGGTGAAATCAGTCCTAGCTTGGAAAGGGTGTAATCAGTCCCCTAGCTTGGAAACGGTGTAACGCCCCTCGCTTGGAAACGGTGAAGTCCTCAGCTTGGAAAACGGGTAATCGTCCTCAGTTGGAAAACGGTTTTTTAATCAGTCTTAGCTTGGGTCGGTGTAATCAGTCCCCAGTTTGGGAGTGGGTTTAAATCAGCCCCCTCGTCTGGGTGGGTTTTTGAAATCAGTCCCTCAGTCTGGAGTCGGTGTAATCGCCCCCCAGTCTGGAGTCGGGTTAATCAGCCCTCAGCTTGGAGTGGGTTTAACGTCCCTCAGTTGGAGTCGGTTTAATCAGTCCCCGTCTGGAGTCGGTGTAATCAGTCCCCAGTTGGATCGGTTTAATCAGTCCCTCGTTGGAGGGTTTAATCAGTCCCTAGTTGGGTCGGTTTAATCAGTCCTCAGCTGGAGTCGGTTTAATCAGTCCCTCTCTGGTCGGTTTAAATCGTCCCTCAGTCTGGGTCGGTTTTTGTAATCGTCCCTCAGTTGGAGTGGTTAATCAGCCCCCCCAGTCTGGAGGGTGTAATCAGCCCCCCAGCTGGGTGGGTTTTTTTAATCGCCCCTCAGGGGGAGTCGGTTTTAATCAGTCCCCCATTGGAGTCGGTGAAATCGCCCCTCAGCTTGGAGTCGGTTTTTTAATCAGTCCCCAGTCGGGGGCGGTTTAATCAGTCCCTCAGTCTGGATGGGGTGTAATCGTCCCTCGTTGGTTTTTGGTTTGTAATCAGTCCCCCAGTCTGGAGTCGGTGAAATCAGCCCCCTCAGTTGGAGTCGGTTTAATCAGTCCCTCAGTGGGGAGTCGGTTTAAATGTCCCTCAGTCGGGAGTCGGTTTTAAATCAGTCCCCCGCTTGGGTCGGTTTTAATCAGCCCCCTCGTTGGGTCGGGAAATCAGTCCCCAGTTGGAGTGGGTGTAATCAGTCCCCCCTTTGGGTCGGTTAATCGGGCCCTCAGTCTGGAGTGGGTTTTGTAACAGTCCCTCATTTGGGGTTGGGTTTTTGTAATCGTCCCTCAGTCGGGGTTCTTTTTGGGTTAATCAGTCCCCGCTTGGAGTGTTTTTTAACCAAACTGGGGAAGGGGAAAAGCATTTAGCTTTGATCCAAGGAAGGGGAGGGCAGTGTGCTTCCCGGATCAAAAACCCCTCCCGGGTGTCCCCTTGAGACGGAAATTATTTAAAAGCATTTGGAAAAATTTCATTAAAAAACTTGAATTTAAACCGGACATGGGAAGAATTATGGTTGGAGAGTCTTTGGGCCCTAAATTTTTACTGTGGAAAAAGAAATTTATGCTAAGCCCCTTGGTTAGAATTGTCCCCACGGTTGAGGGACTGATTAATCTCTTTTCTACACCCGCCCCCCCCTGTATTTAACTGAAGAAACCCCC